GGGGGTCCCTCGGGGGTGGCGGGCCGTGGCGCCTGGTTGCCAGCAGCCTTGGAGCTGGGGATCCCGGCGGTGCTCAGCCAGGGAAAGCAGGGACTGCCGGCCGGTGCCGGGCCCTGTACCCGTGTGTCGCTGCCGTGCCTTTGAAGCCCCCCGTCTGTGTTTGGGCTGTGTTGACAGCGTGCAGGGTCTTCTGTCTTCAGCCTGAGGTAACAGGAGGTAACAGCCCTGCTTCTTTCCAGAGTGGGCTGAGGAAAGAGTTGTCAGGACGCTGAAGAAGACCGAGGAATAAAAGGGTAAACTTAGTGTTTGGGGTTGCTCACTGCAGAGGGGTTGGACTAGATGATGTTTAAAGGTCCTTTCCAACCCAATATATTCTGTGATTCTATGATTGTTCAGCCTGGAGAAGAGAAGGCTCTGGGGAGACCTTATAGCGGCCTTCCAGTACCTGGAGAGGGCTTACAAGAAACTAGGGGGGATTGTTTACAAGGGTATGTAGCGATAGGACGAGGGGGAATGGTTTTAAACTAGAAGAGGGTAGATTTAGATTAGACACTAGGAAAAAGTTCTTCAATATGAGGGTGGCAGATCACTGGAACAGGTTGCCCAGTGAGGTGGTGGAAGCCGCAAACCTGGAGGCATTTAAGGTCAGGCTCCATGGGGCTCTGAGCAACCTGACCTAGTTAAAGATGTCCCTGCTCACTGCAGGGCAGTTGGATTAGACAATCTTTAAAGCTCCCTTCCAACCCCATGCATTCTATGATTCTGTGACTATGTTCCGGAAGTAAATGGATAACTCCAAAGTCTACAGTTGGCAGGTTATAGCTCTGTTACAAGACCCCTCCTGAGATAATCTCGTTTATGCTAATTAACATGGTTGCATAAGTATGGGATAAATATTGAAGACTGGTGAGGATTGTAAAACCGCTCAAGTGACTTGCAGCTGGGCTGTTGAAAAACACATATATTGTACTAATTGCTGCTTAGTCTTTTATGCTTGAAAAGTAGAACCTCTGTGCTTAGATAACACAGGCTTGTCATAAACTCTGAGGCACCCTATCTAACATGCTTGAGATTCCTGCCCTGCTGTGGGAAAGATCAAAGCACAACAATGGAAAACTATGCCTGAGAAACATCCTTGAAATACAGGCGAAAGCAGCAGTTTCAAAATCTCTTGCTTTGGCCTTTGCAATAACCAAGCTTCATGGTGCCTGCATCCCTGCTTGCATGCCTGGGTGCTGCTTCAGAGATCCCCTGGTTCATGAGATAATGAGAATAAATCTGCTCTCTATGTCTCATCCGTGATTTTGTGGTTTTTCCTGCAACCTGCCTGTGTCAGCTCACACAACAGATGGCAATCAATGGCAGAATGTGAGGCTAAAAGATACCCTCCCACTCATGTGGCCACATTTTTCAGTTACCAAGATTTTGGCCTTTAAATATTGAATATTGAACAGGAGTAACATCTGGTAGCATTTTTTTAAGTGTTTGCATAGCTGGTATGCAAGAACCTGTTTTCTTGTCTTATTAACAAGACTGTCTAAAAACTGAACATCTTTCTGAATAACACAGAACACAAGATAAAGGTCTGCATGTGGGAGTGAACATCTTTAGCCAACTCTGCCTTCAAGTGGGAAAACAACATGTAATGGAGCCAATCAATTCCTGTTTTTTAAAAAGGTGTAATGGGTCACTTAAGGACATGTCCTTTTGGTTCCTCGTTGCTTTTGTAGGACATGGAGAGTCAGGAACTGCCTTACGTGCTAACTGACTGTATAGGAGGGAGGCATGGAGTATATGAAGACCATGCTGAATTTCTGAAGAAACATTTTTCTCTCATTACCATGAAAGAATATCTTGAAAATAAGAAACTTCTCGGTGAAAAGATCAGAGCTATTTATGCGTGGTATCACAAACCAGTTATTGATGAAGAGCTGCTCCGGAGCTTACCTAACTTGAAGATAGTTGCAAGCTCTGGAGTGGGAATAGATCACTTGGACCTGAACCTCCTCTCCAGATACGGTGTGAAAGTGTCCAACACTCCATTTATTGTTTCCAATGACACTGCAGACTTGGGCATGGCTTTGATGCTGGCATCTTCCAGGAGGCTTGTGGAAGGTAAGAAAAGAAATGTTCTTAATCTTTTTATAGAAAAGGTGACTCTTCAAAATATGCCAAGGTGACACCTATCTGAGTCATTACGATCAAGCTGTCCAGAAATCTGTCCACCATGCTCTTTTCTCTGCCAACTTTGAAGCTAGGAATTGTATTCTGGCCTTACTGAAAGTCTTGATGATCTGTGGCACTGCCAGTTTCATCAGGTTGCAGCAAGATGGGCATTGACTTCTTCTCTCAAGTAGCAAGTGATAGGACAAGAGAAAAGGGCCTCAAGTGGCACAAGAGGTAGTTTATATTGGATATGGGGAACAATTTCTTCAGCAAAATGGTGTCAATCATTGGAACAGGCTGCCCAGGAAAGTGGTGGAGTCACCATCCCTGGAGGTATTTGAAAGACAAGTAGATGTGGCACTTGGGAACATGGTTTAGTGGTGGACTTGGCAGTGCTAGCTTAACAGTTGGACTAAATGATCTTAAACGCTTTTTCCAACCTAAACAATTCTATGATTTACCCAGCTGATGGACCACCATGAGTAAGGAGCTGTGTTGCTGAGGGGCATTTCAGTGGTGCCATAATCTGCATTGCAGGCAGAGAAAGATGATGAGCAGCTGTGTGATATACCTCAAAGGGGGTTGCTGCTTTGGTCTCACCGTCCTTGTCTGCTGAAGAGGAGCTGGATATGTTTCTATCCTAAGCAAGAAATCAGTGTCAGAAGTCATGCTGACAGTGGAGCTTTATTTACTTCTTATCCAGAAACACAGTAACAGTAATAACTGCTCCTCTGTTTCTGTCTTGTCTTACAATAAAAAATAAGAGACAAAAAAAAAAGTAACCAGGTGCCAGGACATCCTTTATATCACATTTTTCCTTCTTTTCCCTCCTTCAAGGCTATGAGATGGCAGTCTCCCCCGACACAGAGTATTTCCCTGCTGACTGGCTGGGGGCTGAGGTTTCTGGGGCAACTCTGGGTATAGTGGGAATGGGCACCATTGGCTACAAAGTGGCCAACCGAGCCAAAGCCTTTGAAATGAAGATTCTGTATCACAACAGGAATCAGAGGTAAAGCTGGTTGCAGCTCCATCAAAAGTCTATTTTGTCACTGCTTTTCAATGTTATTTGTACCTTTCACTGTCAGACTCCTCTCTCTGTTAGGATAGGACAATGTGCTCTCTGCATTGTTGTTATTAAATATTGTGCCAGGAAGCAGCAAAGGCCACAGAACATGACTAGGTTCACCCAGAAGTCCAAATCATCCGGTGAGCTCATGTTGATAAGGCAGAGTAGAGGCCAGACTGGGGCTGGGGGGAGCTGGAGACAAGCCCTGCTGCTGCATTGCTGAGACAGGCGCTGGTGGCCTCAGGGGAAGCTGCTGTGGGGTCCTGGGATGTGGGGAAGCCCCAGAGGGCCAGGCAGGGACAGAGCCATGACAATAAGTCACTCCCTTATTATTGGCTCTTTATTTTAAGTGGCAAGGTACACTGCAAACACTTGCTTCAAGGTGGTCACTAATTTCTCAACTTATGCAGAAACAAAGTCAGGAAGGAATGGGAGGGACAGATGTCACTGGTGTGAGTTGGGGCTCTCTGGGCCTTCCTGTCATGCTGGTGTCATTGAATCGGCTGAGGTGTTGTGGTTTAGGGCT